ATTTTTTTGCATTTTTTGGTGTTTATTACTTTTAAAGTCATTTTTTGAGATTTACAGGTCATTTTCCAACATTTTTAGTTATTTTTACTGATTTCACAGTAGTTCGTTTCTTATCGTTTCTTGTAGACCATTATGCCGATAACTTAAACCACAGACTAAGATTAGTACCTATCCAATTTTATCTCGACGATTACATTATTGTCATTGTCGTATTGTAGTGAATAATATTATACCTACATTTTATTATTTTTTCCTAATATTCGATTAGTATCCGATTTTATCTCGCCGATTACAGTCGTCGCGTCGTTGTCGTATAAAAGTGAATAATATTATACCAACATTTATTATTTTTCGTAATATTTTCGAAATGCCGAAAATTAGAACGTCGGTTAGTGCTCGTCTGCGTGCATTTGTGTCGGAATTCGGCGACGATATTTTTTCTTCCGATGGCACAGTTCTTTATTGTAAAGTATGTGAAGTAAAGGTGGCCTCAGAAAAAAAATTTACTATTGAACAACACATTTCTCGCATAAAACATAAAAATGGTATAGAGCGCAAACATTTAAAACAAAGTCAAAGTTTTCTTACTACGTCGTCAAAAAAATCTACTTTTAATTACGATTTATGTCAAGCTCTTTTATCAGCCAATATTCCCCTACACAAAATATCAAATGAATTATTCCGTGCATTTTTGGAAAAAATACACGCACAAAAGTATTCCTGACGAATCAACGCTAAGGAAAACCTATGTTGTTCAATGTTACGAAGACTGTATTAACAAAATAAGAAGTTATTGCGAAAACCAAAAGCTATGGGTTTCTATAGACGAAACCACGGATTCAGTAGGGCGGTATGTGGCTAACGTGATTGTCGGTACATTGGAAGTCGGAGGCCCGGGGAAAATATTTTTGCTCAATTCAGAAATTTTTAGAAAAAGCTAACCATACCTCCATCGTCAAATTATTAGATACATCTCTACATATTTTATGGCCCCAAGGAATAAAGCATGACAATATTTTGTTGTTCTTAAGTGATGCCGCTCCCTATATGATGAAAGCTGGCAAAGGTCTAAAAATCCTGTACTCTAAAATGGAACACGTAAGTTGTTTGGCCCATGGATTACATAGGGTTGCGGAAGAGATTCGAAAACACTTCCCAAAAGTAGATCAGTTAATATCGAACATCAAAAAAATATTTTTGAAATGTCCATCACGTGTTCAATATTTCAAGGAAATGGCACCTAATATTCCTCTACCACCATAACCAGTATTGACCAGATGGGGAACATGGTAAGCTGCTACTTATTTTTGTGAATATTTTGAAATTTTGAAAACTATTATTATGGGACTAAACAAAGATGATTCTACGTCAGTTGAAAAAGCACAGGATCTTATAAGCGATGATAATGTAAAACATAATTTAATTTACATTAACGCAAACTTTGGAACTCTGGCCGATTCTATTACCAAGTTAGAAACTTCAGGACTCAGGCTTTATGATTCAATACAAATTGTACAAGATATTTTAATAAAATTGAATTAGCAGCAGTTAATAGAATTGGAAATGAAATAAAAAACAAATTTAAAGCGGTACTTGCCAAAAATACTGGATTTCAAACGATGTCAACAATTTCTAAAATGTTAAATTATGAAGAAGCTTCAAGTGAGAGTTTTCCGGATGATTTCAGTGCTGATGATTTGGTCCATTTTAGATTTGCCCCAATCACTTCAGTAGACGTGGAGAGAGGTTTTTCCAAATATAAAAATGTATTAACAGATAATCGTCGTTCATTTACTTTCGATAACATAAAATACGCTCTAATTGTACAATGCAATGATTTTGATTTTTAAATAATTTGTAAGCATTGATAAATTTATAAAACAAATATTTTTAATATTTTTATTTTCCTATTTTAAGGACATTTTTGTCATTTTTTCGTCATATTTTGAAATTTATAGAAAAATAGAGTAAAAAATTAAAAAAAAAATGTATTTTTATTAATATAAAACTAATATTTGTAATTTTTTTAGGTCATTTTTTAAGACATTTTTTGCCATTTTTATGCTCATTTTTTATTGTTTTTAAGGTCATCAACTTCCGAGCCCTAGTCATGAGTTTGAAGACCAAAACTTCTTGGTATGATTTTTTTTTATTTGATTTATTATAAACTGAATAAAATTGTAAATTGAACAAATTCAGTACTATGCGTTCAAACATACAGCTGCTCCACAGCATACCTGTTGCGCATGCCACACGCCTATTAAAAGGACCAATATAATACAATGACAATGTACGGTATACATGTGATACAGTCTTGTGAAAAATGCTTTTAAATATTTAGGTGAATTTTGGTGCGTGAATTGATTACACTCAATAAAAGTATTGGAAAGGAAAAACGGTTCATAGTGTGTCACATCGGCTCCGAAGATGGATTTGTTCCTGATTCATTATTATGCTCTGAGTCGAAGAAAAACACCAACGACTATCACGATGAAACGAATGGCGATAGTTACTGTGATTGGTTAGAAGTTGTTTTACCGAGGCTCAAATATAACGCGGCTATAGTTATGGTCAACGCGCAATACCACTTGATAAAACTAGAGAAATGCCCGACTTCAACTTTAGGAAAGCTGAAATCATTGAATGGCTACAGAGCAAGGGAGAAGTTCTTCAAAAGAATATGATAATACCAGAGCTTCTGGAAGTTGTCAGAAGGATAAATAAAACCCCGAACTAAGATAATATGGACTGGTAACGGTTTGGCTGGCGGATGGTAGCGGTGCGGTCAAGTTTTAATACGTGGTTTTCTAAGAGGGGGAATTTATCGGATTGGGGCGATCCTTGTGTTGTTTTTTGTAACTATAGTTGTGTCGTGCTCGTAGACCGTTGCTTTACAAAATATTTTTAAAATTTAAAGTAATTATACTTTATGGTAAATATATTTCATATTCTTTATATTATGTTTCTTGTTTCTTATACCTACTGGGCACTGCCTACTACAGTACTACCTAACAACTGTAATAAATTAATTTTTGCTTGTTGTCTGTTGATAGTGTAGTGTGTATTTTTTAACCTTTCATCTATTCTATGATATAAATGTACCTACTAATAATATAGCATGTATATTACAGAGTCAGAGTGTATTACATACCTATTCAATTTTTACAACTGTGCAACTAATTCAATTCAGTCTTACCTACCAAATATTGAATATATTGGTTACAAAATAGTATTTAACTTTTATTTTTAATCCAAAATGTTAAAATGTAAGTATACTAATAAGAACAAAATATGAGTCTTTCAAAATGTGTTTTATTATAATTTCATGACAAGTTTAATACAGTTTTTAACAAGTTATTTGCAATATTCTAAATGTACAGTTATGTTATTTGAAACTTATTTCATATTTTTGTTTTATTATTGTTTTTGTCCAACAGATGTCGCTTCGGCTTCACAATTTCTCCCACCACAAAAAGTCCATATTAAAACCTGACCGCGTATTTTACCGTCGTTGCCAGTCCATATTATCTTAGTTCATGGATAAAACCGATGTATAATAAATACGTCATCGACGAGATGGTTTTACAACAGAGCAAAATGGTGTTAAGGTTGACGCCTTACCATTGCGAACTCAACCCCATAGAGTTAGCTTGGTCTGTTGTAAAACGCCACGTAAAGTCAAACAACAAGACATTCAAATTGCCTGACGTAAAAAATCTTTTGGTTGAAGGAGTAAGCAAAGTGGACGATGAAATGTGGAAAAACTTTATAAGCCACGGAATCAAAGAGGAAAATAAGTTTTGGACATAAGACGACACAGTAGACGAATTGGCGGCTGAGCAAACTAAAATAGTAATGGCCATCGGAAATAGTGACAACGAAGATGACGATTTCGATTATTTATCAGATTGAAAGATAAAATTATGTAAACAGTTGTAATATTTTTAATGTAATAATCGATCTTATATGAATTATTTTTGTAAATATTATTGTAAAAAACAATCTATTATATTGTGTATTTGATGTATAAAAATGTATTGTAAATTACTATTATACAACCATTAAGTTGATGCTCCATTTAAATAATAAAAATATATTTACAAATATTACGCGCTGATTCCATGGTAACCGTTCGCGCCGGTCAGATAGCACAAACAATTAATTAATTAGTGATGGTATAAAATAACAGGAACTGTGATTTATAACAGTTATCCAACGAGTAGCAGTAACAGGCTGTTACTCAAAAGAATAAATAACAGTTACTAATATTTTTTTCTTCTAATGTTATTTCCCTGATGTGCTGTTCCGATAACACCGATAACAGATAATAGCAAAGTTGTTATACTACAAAGAACAAGTTACAAATTTACAACAACTTTACTGACCAACTGTTATTATACGATTTAAGATATTTTAACGAGGTTATAACTTGTCAACTTGATTATACTTATGTAAGTATTAGTACCTACTTTAATGTTCTATAACATGTTATTTTTTTTATAATTTTAATATTAAATAGCTGCTAACTTACAAATTACTATTTTAGTATTTTAGAGTTTTACTAAAATATGAGTAAGTATAAAAAATAAAAAATACCATTAATATAACAATTGTTTTAATATTATTTTAATATTCACTATATTTTTATTTTATATAATCGTTAAATAATTGAACATATTTTATAAATGAAAATAAAATAACATTAATAACAATATTTAATATATTTACAAAACATAGTAACAATATTCAATAACTTTAGAATACTGTATTATATATATTAATATACAATATATAATACTATATACTATACTTTACAATATTAAATTACATAATTATATAAACAGAATAAATAAGCTTTGATATAGACTAATATTTTATAACTAAAAATATAAAATAATTAAGTACATTTTAATTTAAAACCTCAATTTCTGTTATACATATTGTTTAGATAATAAAAATACATTTAAATTCATCATAATATTTACTCAAATGTCATAATTTCATGTTGAATTATAATTCAAAAACAACAACATTTCTACTTTTTCACTTTTAAGTCTACAACGACGATCGTTCAAAATAAGTCCTGCTTTTGAAAAAATACGTTCACAAGGAACTGAAGTACCAAGGCAACATAAAGTTTGCTTAGCCAAAATATGTAAGTATGGATAGTTATACTTATGTTCTTGCCACCATTTAAGAGGATCCATATTTCTTTTTAGCATACCATCTTCTAGGTACCTTTGTACCTCAATTATTGCACGCGACTTAGATGTACCTGAAGGTATTAATTTGGCTATGCTCGTGTCAATAGTTTCCCAAATCGATGGGCTATTTGATGTGGATGGGTTGTCTATACTTATATAATCAGGTTGGTCTTGATTTTGTTCATCCAGTTGATTCGATCTTTCTAAATAAATTATATTTGCAGTTTTTTCAATTATTTCATTTTTTGTTGTTTCAGATAGTGAATTATTATTATTAAATGGAATGTTTTTGAAACGTGGATCCAAAAAAGTACACCTACATAATGTTTTACTTTTATCAACGTTTTTCCATGCGTCTCGTTTTTCCATGTTCTCTAATAGTTGTTTGATAATCATCAGTGTCCTTTCATTAAATTCCATTGTATGCAACTTTTTGCATGCATTTAATAAGCCTTGAGTTAATACTATGACTATAGATGCAGTCATGTATGATTCACCACTGACTGCTCTAGTAGCCTCTTCAAAAGGTCTGAGTACAGTACACAATTCTTTTATTATAGACCATTCATCACTGTTTAAGGTTTGAGGTGCCTTATCAAGCAAACCTAATGTCCCCCTTATAGGATTTTCTAGTTCAATAAAACGATTAAACATATAATACGTAGAATTCCACCTAGTCTGGACATCTTGGAGTAATTTTTTAGGTTTATCTATCCCATTATTTATTTGATAAGTTTTGAGTTTATTATTGGCTACTGTACTTCTACGAAAATATGTGACAATGGTCTTAACTTTATCAATAAGTTCGTTTTCTAAAGTAAGAGCTGATTGAACAATCAAATTTAAGGTATGAGCAAAGCATCCTAAGTGTTTAAGTTTAAGTAAACCTAATGCATTTTTGATATTAGTAGCATTGTCCGAGACAGCTAACTTTATTTTGCCTTCAAGTTGCCATTCATCAATAGTTTTTTGGATTTGTTCACTCAAATTTATGGCAGTATGGTTTTCATTAAAAGAAGAACAACTTATGAGAATCGACTGTAAACTAAAATTTGAATCAACAAAATGTATTGTGATGGCCATAAAACTTTCGTTGTTTCGAGATGTCCAACAGTCGGTTGTTAAACACACATGTTTTGCTTCCTGTACTACTAACTCTTTAACTTCTCTCAATCGCTTTTCATACAAGGCTGGAATATATTGTTTGGAGATTGAATGGCGATTAGGAAGTGTATAATTGGGGTTCAACATTTTAACGAACTGTTTAAAACCCTTGTCCTCAACTAATTTAAAAGGTTGGTAATCTTTTGTGAATAAATTTAAAAGTGACTGATCTATATCTTTTTTCATATCAACTGTCATTTTTTTTGGAATGTATGTAGCTATAGACAGTTGTTTACGTTTATGAGATTTCGCATTATTATCAGCTTGCATTTGGCTTTGACCAGTTACTATTTGAGAAAAAGCATTTGCATTTGCATTTGATGGAGCTGAATCAATTAATGAATTTTGTTGAG